TTTTCGCCTGCACGTAGCAACGAATTACCTTCGTAAAATTATAAGCTTGTATTCATTTGTTTCTGAGCTGTGTCAGCAATAGCAGGAAAATACAAAGCCAAATTTTCTTCAAACTTTGAAAAAATCGCCAGTGAGCCCAAAACTCGGGCCCACCGGCTTCGTCCTCATTTATAAGATTAGTAAAGTAAAAAAAAATTTCAAATCATTCCTTCAAGGAACTTTGCTACGTTATTCAATTTATAATTGGGTTCTCCCCTAACTTATTTTTTGCTATCCTGAGAGCATTTTCCATGCATTTGAATTTTGACTCAGTAAGCTGAGAAGTTTTGCATCAAGCTAATGTCCAGGTTGGCAGTTATGGCGTTATCAGGAGTGATATGCGACCCAACAACAACGGAAGCAAACGAATATGATTCTCTGTCTGAAGTAAGTAACCTCATCACGTTTCCTATTCGCTCGGAAATGTGGTTCACCACTCTACTTTAGAAAGGAAGCCAGTAAATTTCTCTCTGGCGTCTCACTTTCTTCTGATTGCAGCACTGGCCAAAAGACTATTGAGCCACAAGTGCTGGTGAAAACTAATTGGGAAGCAAGGCAAAAAAATGCCAACAAACGCATATTCTCAATGCTATGTTTGTCTGTACTGTGTGTTTGGAATTTTGTTCGGCATTTTCAAGCTAGTGACCGAAACTGCTAGGAAGCTAAAATTTTTACAAGATGCCCCTGTGCAACCTCAGAAATTTGGAATTAGCTTTCACGTGTGCTTGTGTTTCACACTTGAAAAACTGAAATTTTTGTCGAAAAATTTTCCAAATCGGTAACCACATCGGATAGAAAACTGAAATTTCAAAAGGATGTTTCCAACTCATGTGCTACCTTGTAAATTAAAATTATTTCCACGCGTGCCCTCGTACTGCAAGTAATACGTAAAAACTGAGATATCCCTCTAGATTTACAAGCAGAACTAAGCAAAACTCATGAACGCTTCGGCCGCTGAAGCTTTATTTATTTTTATCGCAATGTGAACTGTGCTGACCAATATTTAGCGTTTTTCTTTTTTTTTTCTTTTATAAAGGTTGTAATTTTTTATCAAATGCAGAAAATATCGGACCTCAGCGAGGAATCTGCAGATGAATTGGAAATTGACCCGGCCGACGCACTTGTTGTGGAAGAAGTTATTGACAAGTGTTACGTAAGTTTCGGGCCATTATTTTTTAATAGTCTTAGATTCTTATTCATCACTGTAAAAGAAGTCAAATAAGTTAATCGCTCTACCAACCTTCTTGGCTTTCAGCATTAAATCCCCAACTTTATGTACTGCGAAAAAGCACGAGTGAGTTGCGATCGATGTCCTACTCAAATGAAAAATACAAAGCGTGCGAGAGTAATCCAAAAAATGATTGTTGAGGAAAAATGCGAACAGGAATTTCATTTGAAGATTCGTGAAAATGAACTGTTCATATGAAAACAGTAAAAGGATAAAATTTCCATGAAGTCGTCTTTATTTCTCTCTTGCATCACAACTGTACTTGTTCAATCCGACTGTTTTGAAGTGCATAATCAAAATATATTAAAATCACCAATCAGTGCAATAACAAGAAAAATTAGTTACCAGTAAATGGCATTCCAATTTAATGATAAATTAATGACAGTTTTTGCTAGCGAAACGCATAACAAGCCGCGCACTAGCCAAATTTAGTGAGTTCCATTCAGCGAATTTTTCAGAGGCTTCCCAAAAAAACTTGTGTAGATGATTGTAGCAACTTGACAATTCTGTTTGCCATTTGCATTAAATTCTGAAAACGTCGTTTTTAGAAAATTGTTCTTGGCGACCAAGCGGAGGAAACAACAACTGAAGGAGCAGCAGCAGTAGCAGCGGCGACAAAAGAAAATGCAGAAAAGCCAGAAGCTGGGGAGGAAAGTGCTGGGGCTACGGGAGAATGCGTCCCAACCATCTTCGGTGACGACGTTCTGTTGTGTGAAAATGGACTGTACATCCCTGATCCAAGCTTCTGTTACGGCCTTGTTGGACAGTATTGCGCTGAGGTGAAGTTTTGTTCTAGCTGAAATTGCGTGAGCAATAAGTAAAGTTGTTTTTCTAGCCAATGCTGTGCAAAAGCAATCCATGGCGAGTTGATACTGTAACACCTGTTAAAGCAGCAGAGTTAGACCGATTTTTGTTATTTCCTCAAACTTTCTTGAGAGATGGTACCGTCAATTACGTTTGTGTTCAAAGGTCAAAACATTGGTAAAAATATTGCCATTTGACCGTTGACCATACTATTTTCATTTGAGGACGTAAGAAAATAAGCTGGAATTTCACTTTGGAAATAAGCAAAATGCATTTCTGTTTCTGATTTTATTCTGTGGCAGCTGAACCTGGGTGCTGGGAGGTATGTCGGATCTAGCACAGATGCGCTTGACGTTTCATTGCTTTCCAGCAGTACTGGTTCTCTATGCAAACTTTCAGCGGAGATTTGAGCTTTTTTAATATTGGTACTTTTAGCGCGGATCATATGAAGATCAAAACGGAGAAGAAAATCATGTCGAGGAGCCCACTCATGGAACCACGGAGCAGCCGCGGCAGAATCTCGAGGATCCGACTGTCCGCGCACCAGTAGAAAACGGCAGCAGTGCTTAAGACGATTCTTCCTAGAACAATTGATTTATTATTTATTA